ATGGCATTCTCTATCATTTTTTTATAATATGAAGATTTTAAAATGCTGACGAACAACACTGTAGTTTCTTTCTCAGTCAAATAAGGCTGCATCTGAGTAGCTATGTCCATTTACCTCTGAGCATACTCTTTGAATGATTCAATTACCTTCTTTTTCATATTCTGCAAAGACAGATAATCAAAGGCTAAATCTATGATATGCTGATATTGACTAATGAAGTCATGAGCCGTATCAGTCTAAGACTGAATGTGAGTCCTATCCAACTGGACATATCACCTAGTAGCAGAGCCAATAAGGTTTTTTTAAAAAACATGCATTAATAGTCTTTCATTATTAGCATGGACAGTCATTTTTTGACAGTACATAGTAATGTGAGTCTTCGAACACTTTGTATCATCATATTTTTCAAACTTTGAAACCTTAAACTTTGGAGGGATAATAACATCAGAGACTAAATAGAGCCCAGCAGCATCTACAGAACCATAAAAACCAATTTTTTTTATGGCTCGTAACCTTTCTTCTAATAAGTTCATATTCTGTTCAGCTTTTAAGCCTTTTAAAGTCTCTTTTTCCTTAGGTTTTAATTTTTTTTCTCTTTTAGATCACCTAAGTTGGGGATTGATACTGGTTCTACTATCTTCTTAGTAAAAACAAGATTTACATAACTCTAGTACTGCCCTGAGTTTGAAGTTGATGGCATTCCAAGGTATGTATAACCTACAGGATAGTTGAACTGTTATTGTGATGGGTTTTGTATGGATTGAACTTGATGCGACCCAAAACTATGAGGGTACGAATGGTTATCCACCTCTTATGATGGATGATCCTACTAGCTAGTATTTTTTACTATTTTTTTCTTTTGTTTAACTTATTCAAAGCATATAAAATCTTACTCAACTCCCCTTCCAGCTTTTCTTAAGTTTTTTTTATCTTCTCAAGACGATTGAAATTTTTTTAATCTATTTGTCTGGCTCAAGCTCTTGTATTATATTGGTGAATTGATTATGTGGGATTGTTGATTGATGAAGCTATCCTCGAACCTTGAGTACCATAATTGCATCATTAATAAAAATGCTATGCTTTATGTCGGTATGTTAATGCGTGAATGTAATGTACATTTCCATGTATGAGATCTACTATGTGGCAAGTATTCCATATATGAAAATGATACTAATGCACAATGTTAAATATGATAATGAAAATGATGCATAACATGATAATGCAAATACACAAAGTCAAACAAACAAAATGGTTAGCAAGTCAATATATAACACAAATTGCTCCTTCTTATGTCCTAATTTTTGGGTACATCTATTAATGGATAAGAATGGCTCTATTTTAAGGCTGACCTCTTAATTGTAAACTATATGCAGGGTTAAGAGAGTTTGACCATTAAAGGTTCTCAAATTCTTCCTTACATCATTGTTCATTGCAGACTAGTAAGTTATTTTAATTTTCACCCTTCACAGGCTACCAATAAAAATGATTCAAGTTGAGTGAGAGTATTTTACTAACCGTTGTAGAGATTATCATTTCATGAAAGTGTAAGTACTTTACTCCCTCTTAAAAGGGATGAAGCCTAGCTATAAAGCTCATATAATGCAAATGCATATGATAATGTGTGTGAAGGAACATATAATTTTCAACCCCATAAATAAAAGATAAAAAAAAATCATTAGTAAACAGATAACACAATCATTACATTTTAAAATCATTAGACCAAAGGATAGGATAAATTTAAAAATTTATGGCTTGACTCTATAACGGTCCCCAGCGAAGTCGTCAAACTATCTTAATATATAAATTCGTAAATCTATAGCTAAACTTAACAAATGGAGTCATCAATCTTTTTTAACTAGGTGTGATTGGTCACCTAAGGAATCTACCTTTTAAGGAGCTCTTAAGCTTAGCTAAGGGTCCCTAAAAGAATAGGTTTGAGTCTACTAAACAGAATAGAGTTAGGGAGTTCAGTTACATATATGACAGGTTATAACACCCTCACATGCCTATCTGAAGGATGGTACCATTTTATTTTAAATTATCCTAAAGTCTTGATTCTAATGGTTTTAAATTTTTATGTTGAATATTGAAAATAATTCTTAAGATTCTCCATCAATCTAACAGAACTCTTAAAAATACTTTATCACCTCAAGAGTATTCAAGAATCTCATTTGTTTTCTTTAGGAGGCTCCGTCGTCAGAGAAAAAGATTTAATTATTTTTTATTATTGAACATATTTTTAATTCATTTACCATTTGGACCAAAAATAGAAATATCTTCTTACTTAAAAATTTCTTATATAATCAACCATTTGCAATTACTAAGAGTTTCCTCCTCGAAATTTATTTTATTTTTATTTTTAAAATTTTTATCATTTGGGTCAATTTAGAATTTTCTTTGCTTTGATTTTTAAATTTTTCATTATTTGAGTTTATTTAGAAATTACTTTTCTTCTTTTTCTTTGTTTTTTATCTTTGAAAGAAAATAATATGACAATTATTTTTATTCAAATTTCATTTAAATTTTTTCATCATTTGGGACAAATTTAAAAAAATTTCTCACCTAGAGATTTCTTAGGAATTTACATCTGAAATTTATAAGAATTTCATCCTTGGATAATTATCAAATTTTTCAATAAAAATTTTTTATTTTAACTTATTATTATTTTTTCCCTTTTTTGTTTGAAAATAAATATCAATTATTGTTTTTGAAACTTTTTCTAAATTATTCCATCATTTGGGAAAAATTTAGAAAGAAATTTCTTACCTAGGAATTTATAGAAATTTACCATTTAAAATTTTTAAAAATTTCATCATTGGATAATTAGTATTTATTCTCAAAAAAATTTTATTTTTTTATTTTTTAAAATTTAATCATACAAAAATATTTAAAAATAAAATAAAAATAAAAAGATATCAAAATAGGAAAATGGCTCGGCTCGGTTGGAGAACTCAGCTTGGCTGCAAGCAAAAAATGTGGCTCTAGAGATGCGGCTTAACAGCTCAACTAGAATCAAAAGCTGGAGGTGAGTCAAAAGCAGATCAGCGCTACGAGTTGGGTCGCTTGAATAGAAACATGCGGATCCTGAGGCCTTTTAAACTCTAAAATGACGTCATTTCAAGGTGATAAAAAAGATACAAGTTTTTGCTTTTTCCTTCAGATTTCACTTCCCTTCTCTCTCTTCTTTTCTTTTCTCTCTTTTTCTCTTTAAACTCGAAGAACTTCGATTGAATCTTCATTTGATTCTAAAAAATCTCATCAGAATCTAGGTTGGTTCATCAAAAGTTAATCGAAAGCTTCAATCTTCCCTGGAATATTCAATCGAATTCTGGATAACCTGCTAAAAAATTTAATCGATGTCAAAAAATTCATTCAAAATTTCAACTGGTGTTGAAAAATTCACCAAAAACTAAAAATTTTTTAGAAAAATTTCCAAAAAAATCTTCTTTTTAACCCAAAAATCTCCCAAATTTTTTTGACTACATTTTAGCTTCTATTTCCTTTATGTTTTTTTGATCTATGTTTTTGTATTCCTATCTATTTTCTATGTGTTCTATTTCATTGGATTCAGTCTTATATTTATAAGGTGTAATCAGAAGAGTTTTTGATTAACCATGAATCCACTGTTGATAGGGTTTCAATATTATCATAAGCTTTATCCTGTATAGATTGAATCCACCCAAAATTCTATCAGCCCAAGCTCACAACCAAAATCCTCATTATTTTTTTATTTTTTATTTTTTTACTATTATCCTATTATTTTAACACCAAAAAAATTAAAAATAAATCAGATAAGAAAAATCAACGAAAAATTAGAGACAAAAATAAAAAACAAATAATAATCAATCAAAAAGATAAACCTACAAATAATAAATAAGTAAATAGTTAAATAATAAATAGGGTTCTTTTAAAAAAATCATAATAGGCTCAAAAGGAGTAGCAATAAATGGTCTTTCGAATGGTAAAAGAAATATGATCATTTTTTATCTCAAAT